GATAGCCGTGTGGATGGTTCGACGTGCCGCCGGAGCTGTGGTAGCTGCCACCAGCTGCACTGCCTGTGCCAGCGCCAGGATAGCTCATGCCTAAGCTGCGTACATCATTGGGATGTGGACCTAATGGTTTTGACTCGTCGTCGGGCAGATCGTCATCATCCTTTTCGAGCTCTGAATTGATTCAAATTGAAATATAATTTGAAGTAAGACTTCTGAACGTTTTGAAAAAAAAAATATGCTCCATAGTTTTATGAAAAAAAAAAAAACTTTTTTGTAAATCTAAGAAAAAACTTAAATTCTATTTGATGTCATTATTTGCAATTCACAGTTTTGTATTATCTACTAAAATTCCTCCTTACCTTTCCGCTGCCCGCCGCCGCCCGTACTGCCACCGTGCAGGCTCTGCGCTCCCTTTTCACTATCCAGATCATCCTTTTCCTTCTCATCGTCGGACACCATCGCCTCGTCATCGTCATCAGTGCGATTCTTTGGCTCCCAAGTCATTTTATTTTCTTTCTTTAGCCTTCGTCGTGCGTTCGCGAACCACGTGGAGACCTGCGTCAGCGTCATCTTTGTAATGATGGCCAGCATAATCTTCTCACCTTTGGTGGGGTAGGGATTCTTTTTGTGCTCGTTGAGCCAGGCTTTCAGAGTGGCTGTAGACTCGCGCGTGNGGAGACGAAGTGTTCAGTAATTTTTCTGAAATTCTTCACATCATTAAATTTCTTCCCTGTCATAAACCGTTATCTCCCATTAAACTTTTACTACGTTTTGAGCGGTTTTTTGCTTTCCCCTAAACTACTACTTTCTGCCATCAGCTTCTTCTAATTAAATTCACGCCCCAACGCATAGCTAATTAATTTTCCTGACTACTTTGGAACCTCGAAGCAGACGAAAAAATCTGCGCTTCACACGCTTACACTCAGCGAAGTGGCGAACTTGTGTCTTCATAGTGTGAAAAAATAACCAAAGGCAACAAAAGCGAGAAAATTAAGCATCCGACGTGAAGGGAAAACGATTTAAAAGCGAGGAAAATGACGTTACGTGTGAATGCTGTAACGATGAAATAAAGCAGCGAACATAACCTTTAATCCAAGCGAAGCGGCAGGAACAGGAGTAAAAACAGCAGCACACAACCGCATGCACGTACTATACATGTGCCAATACATTAGGAGGAACACACACACACACACACACACACACACACGCTCATACACTCATACGGACCGACGACTGTGGCATCCTTTTGCACTCAACTCACGCACTGGACGCTGCTCCAACGGTGGCAACAGCAAAGCCAGGCACTCAACGCTCTGCCAGTAAAGCGAATAGCGAGCAACAAAAAATGTGGAAAACCTTCCTCCCCCACCTTCTCTGTCAGCTCTTTTGTTGCAGTGTTGCATGCTGCCTGTGTGCCACATATTCGCTGCTTTCCGCAATGGATTATCGCCGCGCGCACCCCACCATGGATGGTTACACCAAGCGCTGCATATTTTGTATGCGTGCAGCAGCTTCTGCTGCGCTGTGGCATGTGCGGCATGCAACATGCCAACACACCACACACCACACACTGAACCACCAACGTGATTGCTGCCGCTTTATTTACAACAATTTTTTCCAGCTTTGGTTGTGCTTTCACTTGCGCTTAGCCTGCACACAAATATTTTTAATTTCTTTATTTTTCTCAAATTTTATTTTTCTCAATTTTTTGTGGGATTTTTATGGTGCCGCAAGAATCAACAGCTTGTGCGGTGAATTTTACAACCAACTACTCGAAAGTCTGTACCTACTCCAGACGCACACTGCCCATACAGTCGTTCAGTGTCCAACGGTTAGCCGCCCGACCGAGTCCACTGTTGGCGTTGCTGCAAGCAACGTGCGTGGCCGGATGCAACGCTTTTTTTGTTATTTCTTTTCCTTAGCTATGATGCGCATATTTTTTGCTTTTCTCGTTTTATTTTTTATTTTTTTTCGTTGTAACAAAAACGCTTTGATTTTATATTTGCTGTTGGCATCTGCTTGAAAATCCTGTTGAAGGCTCGTTCCGTGAGTGGCACTCAACACCACTTTCAAGCGCTTGCTACAGTTTGTAGTTGTTGTTATACTCATCATGTGGAGCACTCAGCGCGCTTTTTTTTTGTTTTTTTTTTTTATGCGATCCTTTTTTACTATTTTGCATTAATGGTTTTGCTCTTTGGATTACTCTTTAGTTTGAAGCACTTCTCAGCAAGGATATTGGTCAAATGCCCACAGCAGCGAGAGTTATCGTTTTGCCTACGGCTTTTTGTGGTTTCAATGCATTTATTGCTTTTTGTTTTATTTTATATTTTGTTAGTTTTATTACTTTATAGAGTTTCTATTATTTTCTACTTTTATTCGCTAGTATCAACCAGTTAATGCTGGTCTGTTGATTTTCTTTATCGGCTATGGTTTTTGCTTCCGTATTATTTATCGCCTTTAGTGCGAATGTATTAGGAAGAATAAATCTGTGGCTTGTGCAAAATAATGTAGTTCGCCTCTAAAGTCTTTATGTAAATTAACGTACTTGCAAGCTTTTACTGCGAACTATTAAAATGTGTTACGTTCCAATATATCACTTTAAATTTTGTTGAAAATAAAATTTTGAGACGCCCAGATGGAATAGGTAACCCAACTCCGGGGAAGCGCAAAACTGAACTTGATGCTAAAGTTGAGTAAATGGGTGCTCAGTGCTTATTATAAGGTATAACATAGCAGTTCTAAGTGCGCCGTTCTGTCATGTCTGCGTCCTACTAGTTAGTGCCTGGTGGCAATACAGGCACTTTATGATGTTTAACTAACGGTCGTGTCTTTTGTAAGACAAAAAACTGCATATTATAGATTTTAAAGAAAAATTAATATGGGGGTCCTCATCAGAGCAACAGAAGCCAAATCAACAATTTTTAGATTTTTTTTTCTGTCTGTTTGTCTGTATGTTTGTACGTGCATCACTCGAAAACTAATACATGGAATTAAGTGCAAATTTCACCAAAGGATTGCTTAAGGTCTAACTTAAAATATAGACTAAAAAAAAAATTTGGGAGTTGCCACCTGTTGGAAAATTTCAGTTTAGGTAAATTGATAAGATAAATTAAATATTGCAATATAGTGATTAAAAGAAGAAAGAAAGAAAAAAGAGGTTTAAGAAGGCTTACAACCGACAAAAAAAATATTCTAGAAGGTTGCCACCTACTTGAAAATTTTAATTTAATTTAATTAATAAGATAAATTTAATATTGCAATATGGGTATCATACTAGGGAACTTAGGAAGATTTACTGCAAATAATATTTTTGTGGTGGTTGCCACCTGTTTAAAAAATTGTAAATTCACAAACTAAATAAAATATTACAATACTAATGTCAAACTGAAGTGGTTTAAGAAAATTTATTGTCTAACATATTTTTAAAGCGGGTTGCCACCTATTTGAAAAATTTGATTCAGTTAAATTGATAAGTTAAGGTAAATATTGAATTAGTCAACCTTCGAAGAAAGTGCGCGATATACAGACTCGAGTTATAAGATTATAAATTAAATTTTCAGGAGAAAGCCGATACTCCACCTACTTTCTAAATACCCTCGAAAACTAACACCCACATTTATAAAAAATTAAGAATGCTTCATAAATCGAAAATTTGTTTGATAATCTCCTTTCAAAAAGCCCTTTAAATCTATTTTGTTTTAATTTTTTATTTTTTTTTTGAATGAAGCCAAATGAGTTTTGGCAGGAATTGACAACACAAAAATTATTTTAAGGCGCAGCGAAGCACGTTGGCTATTTGCTAGTTGAAAATGAAGAATTTTTTACGGTACGAGTATTAGGTATGTATTTTTTGAAACCGTTTTTCAATAAAATAAATGAGCAGGAACCCTGATATCCATCGGTTAGTCGAACGCGGGCTGCCAACGGGGCTGCTTCAGCTGGCTAAACGCCAGCTTTCGGTTCTGATAGGAGTTCTAACAGTCTACTGCCTAATAGAGGCTCTAGCGGTACGACTTAATACCTTTTCCGTGGCCGTTTGAAGTATTGCGAGGTGAAATCATATTAGCATTTCTTTCTTATGTGTGTTGCTTTCGCAAGACAAAGGTTTAGACATTCCTTCTCGTATATCAATGACACTCTCTAGGGTGGATAACAGCTGACTGCGGTTCTTCGTTTTCGACCCCCATCGGTTTTCAAGTTTAACAATTTCATATATATTTCCTGTAGTTAACGTTCCAGAAATACTACTACCACTTTCATTTGAAATTTTTTTCTCTCTAAATTTTTTTCTTTAGGAAAAGTTGTAAGGAGTTGTTACACTTATACTCAAAGAAAGTAGTAAGTAAGTTCTGTAAGTAATGTCGCTGTGATCTTCCCTATCGTTATCGATATATTTTTGTCATCTTATCGACCATTGTCATAGTCAATATCGTTCTGCATATACACGCTTGTCAATAAAAACATATGTTTTTTTTTTATATCATTTGGAGACAGATCTGGACATTAAAGTGGCTGTATTTTGTGATACTGCGTGATCACTATTCACTATTTAATCGATGAACACTCTAAAAGAAAGTGAAGAGTGAACTCCAGCTCATCATTCTCCAGGAAACTACGGCAATTAGGATCCTATATGGTTTTTAGTCATGCCGCTTGGATTCCGATCTGACAATGACCTGTTATGACTCTCACCAAAAACGAGAGCCTGTGGCTTTGCAAACATAAGGGGCTTTTTGGCCGCATCCAAATGGACCTTACAATTACGCATGCGCCGGGTTTCGTCCAGCGTTTGCTGAGCTTACATGAGTCCTATCTGCTTAAGAGTAAACCACAGGTGGTCAGCGCCATTCCCAATTAAGTGATGTCGTTTCAATGGTAGGTCTAGATATCTCTGGCTAACTCGTCAACAACTTTGTACGAACGTCGTACAGTATCTCTGGTAATCCCCTTCGGTCAGTTGACGAGATCAAAGAC